ATTCGTAGTATAGATGCATTTATCCTTATAAATACATACATACAACATATTTTATATATATATATATATATATTATTACATGTATATCTAAGAACTCAAAACTATTTGTATAACAATCTCAATTAGTTAGATTTATGTTTTTTTGTTGTTGAGCCCTAAAGTATAAGGACATGCTTAGATCATTATAATAAATTTAATATTATTTGTAAAAAATTATGTATTGTTTAAGTAAATTAAAAATAAAAATATAGTTCAATGGAATAATTAATTAAAGAAATAATTTCTAAAATAATTTTAATTTACTTAAGAATCAATATACCATCTAAAATATATCAAGTTTTGAAATTGTTATCAAAAAGAGTTAAAAAAAAAAAGAATCAACTTAATTTTTTTTTTCATTTTCTTTTTTGTTCTGTTGTTCTAATTGAAAAATGCGAATAATCTAGAATAATATTTCATGTGGTTAGACATGAATTTGGTGTAAATGACTGTTTTCTTTAACTTTTAAACAAAAAACATATTTTGAAAATAGAAATGAAACATACTCTAAATTTTCTTACAAAACTAATTTTACTATTTCTCTGGCATGGTAAATATTGGATGAACTTTATAGTATTTTTAGCAAAATTTATAATTTATAGATGATAGCGTTACTCAACTAAAAAATATATTGAAATGACTCTTAAAATGATTATTATTATAAAAAGTAACAGATTTAATATATATGTATTATTAAATAATAATATAAAGAGTGTAACTAATATGGTTACGATAAATTATTGGTAACATTTTTCAATATCATTTGGTCTTCGATCTCTTTCCATGACTTCCTTCTCCTTCTAAGTTCTAACCATCCGCCAACCGATTCCGATCTGTGTTCTGCACCGCCATGGCAGCGCCACCCGCCAGAGCTCGCGCCGATTACGATTACCTCATCAAACTCCTTCTTATTGGCGACAGCGGTTAATATCTTTATTCTTCTCTGCTTTTTGGAACCCTCATTACTACTTTCCTTCTCAATTCTTTGTTGCTGGATATAGGACTAGGACTATTGTTTCTGCTCTCTACTTTAGTTTTTTTTTTTTAATTAATTTTTTTTTTTAATCTTTCTGACTCAAAATTATTGTAGGTGTGGGGAAGAGTTGTCTGCTTTTGAGATTTTCTGATGGTTCCTTTACAACCAGTTTTATCACCACCATTGGGTTAGTATAATATCTGTAGACACCTTTTTTATCACTTGTCAAAATGCTGTACCTGTTCTTGTCTTGTTTCAACATGCTTACATCTACGTTTTGTCTTTCTACTCGCTACTATTAACGCCCCTTTTAGTGTTTTTTTTTTTTTGGGGGGAAGTATAGTATGTTAGGACACAATATCTAGAGCTCATTTAAATAGTGTTTAGTTGCAGAGAAATGGAGGTGAAGATTTTTTTTATAAATTTTTTGCTGTTTAGTTCAACTTTTAAGAGGAGAAGAGGGAAATTGGGGGAAGGGAGAACCCTTCTTATCTAATTTTAGCTCCCCTCCAATATTGCGGAGAATCTAGAGGGGACTTAAAACATATTCAGTATAATGTCTAAAATATCCTTATTGATAAGGTTATGTATGGATAAACAGACCCTTAGTGAGTAGTTCTTAGTAAGGTTATGTTTGGATAAACTTATCATTAAACACCTATAGGAAAAGAAGATAGGAAGACAAATTAAAACAAGTTTCTTTCTTAAAGTAAAATTAGTTTATGCATAAGCAAATTTATAGAAGCTTACTTATTTAGCTTCTCCTAAAGTTGATTTTAACTTATGCATGAACTAACTTTAACTTCTCTTATTTTGCTTTTTCTTATAAGTGCTTAATGGGAAGTTTTTCCAAACAGGGCTTAAATCTCATATTTAATATGGACATTTTCTCATTGTTCAGGTAGTGGTTTGTCTGTATATTTTTAGTTGTTGTACACAAATATTTGTGCACAACGAGATCTGTCTTTTTGTTGATGAAAATAAAATCTTATTATAATAATATATGGCAGCATTGATTTTAAGATAAGAACCATTGAACTAGACGGCAAACGGATTAAGTTACAAATCTGGGATACTGCCGGTCAGGAGCGGTTTCGAACTATTACCACAGGTATGTGTTTTGTCTTGTCACTCTTATGCAACCTTGTTGCGATTTCAAAATTGGCAGCTGTTCTCTTGGTAGGTAATTATATCATATGTATACATGCATTCCTGTTCAAGTGAATTGAAGTATTATAGTTGAGAACTTGAGATTGATAAAAAAATGAGCATTTAAGTTTTTATAAGCATTACTCATAAATCTAAAGTTCATGCTGACATGTTTTATACTTCAATAGAAGAATGCAATCTATGAAAGCTTGGATACTTAGTATGACACGAGTACGATATGACACGGATACGGAGATACGACAATTTTTTGAAATTCAGGATATGATACATCTTGGATACGTTGCTAAAAAATTATAGGAAAATTTATGTAGATGTAGAATATTGGTAAAGAAATACACATTATTATTTCTCATTAATTCATAACTATGACGATCACAATTCACAAAACAGATATTTGTGATCATAAAAAAAAAACATATAGAATACAATTTTTGTTCATACCATAACCAATTTTAGTTCACTATATCAATAAAAGCATCTTTGGTATAACTTAAAACAAGTATGAGCTCTACACAATTGCCTAGGACTCAAGCATCATTACTGAATTATTGTCTAATGCTATTTGAATCACTCTCCTCTCCCCTTTACCATCATTTAGAAGCATAGCTTCTAAGTCTGATTTTTCCAGAGACAATTGTGTCAATTCATAAGGTCTAGCACCATTAGCAAGTGGATGATGTATATCCCTACTAATGTGCCACAATCTTGCCTTTCCTTTTTATACCCCTCATCATAGACAAAAGTTGAAGGTTCAAATACACATAAACCATATATTCTACCTATTTTGGATCTATTTTGTTTTTCTTCAAAGAATGAATAGAGGAGTGTGTACTCTAATTCCTCTCAAGCACGAGAAAGAATATGGTTGTACAAGAAGCTTAAGGCAAACTTTTTGGATACTTCTTAGATATGTATCCAAGAAGTATCCCGGAAATTTTTTTTTTGAAAAAATAGTGGATACTTTAGAAATACGTATCCAGAAGTATCTGAGGAGTATAAGTATCTAACACGGGTATGACATCGATACTTTTCCATTTTTTGAAGTATTCTTGCTTCATATAATGCAATACTTTATTCTCACATGTTTTCTTCCTACTTGATTTTAAACACCATGGATAAATATGCTTATATAAATTCTATTATATGCTCCATTTCTTTGATAAAAGGAAAACTTACAATGTTACATGCTGTTGCAGCTTATTACCGTGGAGCCATGGGTATTTTGCTGGTTTATGATGTTACTGATGAAGCATCTTTCAATAGTAAATCTCCTTTCCCTGGTTTTGTTGGAAGTTTAAATATATTTCAATGGAAGATATTCTTTTGATGTATTTATGCACTAATGTCTCAGAATCGTAGACTTCATTTCAGCTTTAGCTGACCTTGTAAATTATATTTCCTTCATATTTCCCCCATGTCTTATTTTCCTATTCCTCTCTGATTTACTTTGAACAGGTAGACAAAACAATATGTCTTAATGGTTTATTATTTAATCTGTTCTGCCTGTCTTTTGATTTTCATTGTGGCTTGTGTCTTGCTATCCAGATATTAGGAATTGGATTCGCAATATTGAACAACATGCTTCTGACAATGTAAGCAAGATACTTGTGGGCAACAAGGCTGATATGGATGAAAGTAAAAGGGTATGTACATCTTGGGGTACTGTTCGATTTACATTTTACATCTTAGTTGGCTGGGGTTTGAAATTAGTTGATTAAGCAGCTGTTGCATTATTGACTCTGTGCTCTTTGTGTGCTTTCTACTGTCATTAGTTAGTATTCTCAATTGATGCAGAAAACATTTTTCCTTTTTCTCCTCAGGCTGTGCCTACCTCCAAAGGTCAAGCACTTGCTGATGAGTATGGTATCAAGTTCTTTGAAACTGTGAGTGACAATCACATTTTCATTAAAATTATATGTGATTTCGTTGTATTTATTTATATTGAAGTACACATGCAGAGTGCAAAAACCAACATGAACGTGGAAGAGGTTTTCTTTTCAATAGCAAGAGATATTAAGCAAAGGCTTACAGACACGGATTCTAGAGCTGAGGTAATCTGTCAACTCATTTCCGTATGTCTTTTTTGTTTTTTGTTTTGTTTTTCTTTACCCCCTTGATAAATACAAGTACTCTGTACATTTTCTCTTCTGAAAGACTAAAATTTTGCCACTGTGTATCATGTACTTGATGAAAAATAATGGTTGGTAAGTATTAGGGATTTTCTTAATGCCAACTTTCAAAATAAGTGTATACATTTGTTGCTTATTCTGTATGGCTGAACATTGATATTCTCTTCTCCGTTGGTTCAGCCTCAGACTATCAAGATTAACCAACCAGACCAGGCAGCCGGTGGTGGTCAACCTGCACAAAAGTCGGCTTGCTGCGGTTCATAAAAAGAATCAGTATCTGCAGCAAAAGAGTGCAGGTTTTCTACAATAGCACTCATCTGGGTGCTAATGTTATTCTGATGACATTATAAGTGGGAGCATGTATTTGTCCCAATGTATCTCCCAACTGCAGATGTCGTGTTTTAAAGTTAATATTTTAAATTCTTTGCTCATGGAGTTGGTGGAAATTGTTGTGACTAGTTGATATGCTTCACTTTTCTCTCATTTGTAGTCTGACTCTTAAAAGGACATCTTCATTAGATTCGGCTAGATTATCGCAACAGTTTGATCATTTGCAAAATGTCGGTCCAAATGCTTCTTATTTTGTTGGCAGGCTTAGGAATCAAAAGGCAAACCTAAGAATAAGAATGTCTTTGCGCGGAAGGAAAATGGATAATGTGAAATGCCGTGTTTACTAAAATGGTCAACGGGTCTAGCAATACAAATATTGCATGACAATGTTGCAATATTTTCACCCACTGCGAAAGAATTTGGTTCGGAGGGTGGAACCAAGTTTCTGAGAATAAAGTTAAAATGTATTTGCACGTTAAAGCATTCTCTGATCCCCATATTTTGTTATAAATTTTATGTTAGTCCGGTTGAGATATTTGGCAACAGCAGTTAAAGTAAATTTGAGTGAAACTTGTTCTTTTCTTTGAACCCTGGGTCCACTTAGTTGTGTCGAGCATTAACTAACAATGATTAAATAAGTACGAACTTGGGGTTGAATTCTCGACCTGTATTCTTTTGTGGCATTTTGAACTGAAAAGCAAACACACCAACAGTCGTGTAAGATTCTGCATGTTTTGGTTAGAACGACAAAAAACTGTTATTCTTTTCTCCCCCTCTTAAACTACGTTAGAAAGTACCTTGTAATTACTTCGGCAGTCACTCTCCAAATTGGTATTTGTTTGACATAAAATGACTGCACTTCGTTTTGAGATTTTAAATTTCCAATTTCTATTTTGATGGGCAAAATTAAATTTGCTCGTCACAACTAATTTTGAACTAAATACTTTCTTTTATAGCTTTTCTATTAAAAAAATAGATGATGGATATTAAATCTATAAAATATTGATCCAACTTTAAATTTTAGTAAAGCTGATTTTGATGTTTACAGTAATTTAGGTAGAATAAGCAAATCAATTTTGCCAAAAAGATAATCCGAAATGGTACATCAGCAATTGGTGGTGTCAAACGCTACAAGCCTCAGAAAAACGTTTGTAATATAATAAAGGTCGTGCAATTAACTCAAAGACAAAAAGAAGCAAGATGATGCTCCAGCGCTGGCATTGAAAACAGCTACAAATAACATAATTCTTCCAACAACTCCAAAAAGAGCTCCAGCCTCCAGCTAACAAAGACATGAAAATTGTTCCTTGAATCATAAAAAGCCTGCATGAAGTAGTAGGTCGAACAGTAACCAAAAATGAATTGCACAGGATATTTCTTTTGCATTTGTTGAAAGACTATCTAATATGGAGAAAAGTCAAGCCCATGTTAATTACAAAATAATAATAATAATAAATAAATAAAACATATAGTAACTAACCGAGATTCACATCATCAAGCTAATGATTGCAACTAAATTCTTCACAACCTTATTATTGTGATGGTTTTCACTTATATATGTGATGTTATGAGCTTTATATGCTAAGACTCAGACAACCACACTACACACTACAATGCTCCAGTCTTAACCTAGTATATTTAGTCTAGTGATAAGAGGTTGAAGTAATTTCTACAAATTTTTGAATTATAATCTTATTACTGCCATTGTAAACCCTAAAAAAAACAATGCTTCAGCCATGACATTATTTGGTGCAACCCATCTAATACTTTGGCAAAAGTTAAATATGAATTAGAAAGAGGGTGGCTGTGCATTACTTGTGTCAAATTAGACATGGCTTGACACTTACTTAGGATTGTATCCAGTTCACACTTACATGGTTGCTTTTAAACTACATATTTTCTTCATGACTGCTGTTTTAATGAAACTAGTAATATCATCTTGATAAAGGACAGCATGCTGACATTTCTGAAAATAACAAATAAATCACAAATATAAAAGTGTAATCAGTATAAAAATACATGGTATGTAGTAGAAATTTATACCCTTCTAGGGGTTCTCTGATCTCTATTCCATTTATGCTTCTTGTGTAAACTGTTTCATAACATACGCTACTGTTAGAAGAGAGGGAAAGGGAAGCAGTTAAGACTGTTAGGATATTAATTAGTTTGGTCGGGAGGCTAGAGATAAATAAATAAATATAGGGGAGGTGTCTACTTGAGTCTCGAAAATTTTGAGAATTAATTGTGAAAGGAAGTTTCGTTGCTTGGAGGAAAAATCTCTATTTTTTTTTCTGTCAATTCAATAAAATCTTTCTTTTCTTTTACCCCTATCCGATTTGGGTTTGTAACAGTTACCCAAGTATGATGATGTAAGTAGATATGGAATCACTGTAAATTACACACAGTGACACATTAAAATCCTCTACCTTAAAATCCATTTGATTGGAACAGGGAAAACTATTCAATTATAATAATACAAATGGAAATGAAGAGTGGAAAGTAAATTTCATTCCCTTGAAAAATAGAAGAGCCAAATGCTATAAACCAACCACTCGGGGAGATATCAGTTCTTTCAACTCAATTATGGTAACCTAAGAAATTTGAGGGTAGCTGAAGCACTATGGAAACTATCTAACTTGTCGAGTCCAATCTCCTAAGGCACATTTTTTTTTATAATATTTTTTGTTACTTCTAAAAGACACAACTAAAATGAGCAAAACATTAGTGACATGAGAGTTCATATATTTTTCTAATGATCAAACACCCAAGGTGCCAAAGCAAAGATCACCAAAATATCGGTTATATAATTAACATACTCATACACAAAACATAATATACATAAGACAATCTCGACAGTAAGCGACACAAAATCTAACTTCATTATAGCGAATAATACAAATCAGAAATCCTGGAGTGCAAAGAAATCTCTAAGTGCTGTCACAAGATGCACTGTGTCTGTAACTCATTGTAAGACTTGTTCTTAGCTTCCCCTTCACTGAAAACCAAGAATTAAATCAGTAGTCTAAATAACTCATTAACAATAACATCAAACTATCTAAAACCAAAATTGGGTATTTATAGCATTCGTTTTGTTCATGATCCAGATAACCCAAGAAATAAATATCAAAAGAAGGGGTATTCACAACATTCATTCCGAGTCTTGTTGGATACTCTGTAAGTCCTGTAATGTGTATATTGACATAAATAATGAAAGTCACTTCACTATTCCATAGTAAATGAAGACATAACCACAGTTGGCAAAAAAACTGTTGGGAGCACTTCAACATGTTTATAAGTATTATAGAATGAGTCGTCAGACAAAGTTTCAAGTATCTTTGTGCTTGGGACATTGATGCAGCTAGTAAGGTTTTGACCGAGGCTTGTCTATTGCTGGTTGAGAACTATTTCCAAACCTCCTCTTAGGCCTGGGTTTGGCAAGGCCTTTGAGAATTTCTGGAGGGACTCCCTTTGGGGAGAATCTCTACAATCCTCAGTCCAATTTTTTTTAATTCTTTCCTTAGATAAGATTCTGTAATTATTTTATGTTCTTCTCATTGAAATGGTTGTTTCTTCTCTTTCATCAATTAAATTTTACATAAGTGTTAAAATCTTCTACAACACATTATACACAAGACAATCACACCACAGAATGTATGCGACACAACATCTAACCTTATAGCGAATGAGAACAAAACTAAATTCTCTGAAACACCATAACTCTCACATGAATAATAAAAGTAATAAGACTTTCACTTAACCAATAATAAAAGTAATAACCTAAATTACTCATTAACAATAACACCAAACAATCTAAAAGTAAAAAAGGGACATTAAAATCAATTCACTTTGATCATAATCCAGAAAACCCAAGAAGCAATATCTAAAAAAATGTAAAGCCAAAAGAGATAAAAGATGCTACATCCAAGGCGAACATTCGTTAACTTTGAGACTGTGTTGAACACTTACTTTACAAGTCACATACTGCGTATATCGACAAAACTAATGAAAATTGCTGCCTATAGTAAAGGAAGACATCCAAAAGCTGGAGGAAAAGATGCTACCTGGACAGTTAGACGGTGCTTTAGAATGTTCTTCCCTATCAGTGTTAACTGTTGATGGAAAATCCTGGTAAGATTAGACTGCGCAGTTAGTTGGCCAGAGTCCCACATTAAATAAAACAATAGAAGAAACTGACAGAAGCTACTATAAACAGAGTGGCTAGACAAACTTAAAAGTATCTTTGCGCTTGGGGCAATGACGCAGCTAGTGAGGTTCTAACCGAGGCGCGTCTATTGCTGGTTGAAAACTATTTCCAAACCCCCTCTTTGGCCTGGGTTTGGCCCAGGCCATAGAGAATTTCTGGAAGGGCTCCTTTCTGAGGTAAAGCCCTACAATCTAGTTCAAATTGTTGCAAATGGGCTTTTGGAACTTTGCCTAACTGTGCTACGTTTTTTTGTAGTGGGTCCAGTGGTAGCTTAGCTGTTTGCATTATTTGATAACTGAATTATAAAAATGAAATATTAGTTTGCTTTGTCCTAAATGTAGGTTTTTATGTAATATGTAATGTAATTTAATGTTATTGTATGAGTAAGTTAATTTTGTTAGACCATTAAATTAAGTTTTTTCAAAATATTGTAATGTAATGTAATATTTAACATAAGAGATTTGTTACACCGTTAAATTCAGTTTTTTCTTTTTACAGAAAAATTATTTGTTTTAAATATTTAAAATTCTCAATTTGAACATGAGATTCTCATAAACAATTTTTGTTAATACAATAATTATTTATCATAAGTTTCAATTTAAAAATTTAATAAAAATTTGATGAAGTATAAATTCTCAAGAACAATTCATAAATATATCTCATCATCTTTATTCTCAAATTCAATATTAGAGAAAATACTTTCTGAATTAGGCCCATATATAGCCTTTTCATATTTGATGACCCATAAGTACAATGACCGATAACTACACAGAATACCCTCAATACATCAATAATAGTGGACTGACACAAATTACAGACAAAATGGAAAAAATTGGTCTCTTTAGAGAAAATATATCTCTTTAGGGTTTATGTGAAGCATCATTAATATTATCAGCTGACACCTTTCATGTTTAAGGTTCTCATTTTTTTTTTAACTTTATTTTTTTTAAAGAAAATACAAAATAATCAAGTAATGTTTCTCCATTTCTTCTATAAAATGGAATTCATCTTCAAAATGTCTCTCTAACTTGTGAATCCAGATTAGGAACATGTAAGCGAGTCATCGTTTCAGACTTTCACAAAAAAATCTTGGATAAAGAAAAAGGAAGTATACAAGAAGAGAAAAAAAATTTGAAAAGTAGAAAGAGGAGAAGGTGAAGAACTAAGTAACTTGATGCAAAAGCCAACATTAATTAAACTAACGCGGAAAGATAAACTATTCCTAATGTACAAATGAGGACGGAGGAAAGTCTGTTGAGTTGGGCATCACGAGTGACTGAAACCGAAGTAATGATGCAAATGAATATCTATCTCTTGATAAAAGCCCACATCGAGCAATGTTAAAAATTGAAGTAAGCTCTATGCAATAAAAGAAGACAATTACACTGGAACTTGGCACGGAGCCGTGTGATAAGTACATAGCGAACTATTCTTTCGCCTTTTACTAAAGAATACCGTGTACTTGTCACTTATAGCGGCATACGCCAATTTTTTGAATTGGGTCTTCCTGTGAGGATCCTACAGTTCTAGTTAAAATTTTGTTACATTTAAATTTCTATATTATTCTTTGAAATTCCAACAAGATATAGTTTGGTTGCTTCTGTTACATTTAAATTTGTATGTAGTTCTTTGAAGATTCATAAATTATAGTTTGGTTGCTATCTCAACGATGGATTATACAACTCTGACTAGCATAGTTGGTGATACAGTGGTATTATAGAATAATTTTATACATCGTACGTCTAAGGAATAATTCAGACTTATTAAATGCTTTGTTTGAATTGAATCAATTTAATAATTTAATTTGGTTTGTGTTATCTTAGTAAATTCTCAATTTAGTCTGTTAACTTATCATTCCTTAAATTATGATAATATGTCTTCATATGTTTTACGGAAAGAAATAATCTATTAATTCATTTTACAGAGAAATATTATATTATTTATTTGGTACTGCTAAATGACACAATAACTAATTAGACATGATTACATCAAATATCATTTTATCAGGTTGTAGATAAAAATTAAAATTAAAATAATCATTTTCAAAATTTGAAGAACTATGTCACAAATATTCATTAAATTAATCTTAATTAATTGTATCTTAGAAGTAGTACTTTTCTATAAAAAAAATGTATTCAAGTTTACATGTTTACTTATAATTTATTTATTTTTACAAACATTAAGCGTATTTTAAAATTTTAACCTATTTTTAAAAAAATATAAAAAGCATTAAAAAAAAAACAGCGGTGAAAAGTAGAAAAAACGTGACCTTATCAAACGAGTAAACTAAAGTATACTTTTGTTTTTACTTTATTTTATTATAAAATTAACCCTTTATTTTAATTTTAACAAATAATCTATTTTTTAACTCTTAAATTGAGTTAATATCATTTTGATTTAAGTTTTAGGATACAATTTAGAACATTTATATATTTTTTAAAATGCTATATTTATCTTACTAAACTAACCTACAAGAAAAATATGGAATTCTATTAAAGACGAATTATAAATATAATAAAAATCACAGAAAGTTATTCCAGAACAAGAAGAATAACCGAATTTTTTTAATAACTTACAAAACTTATTTTTCATGCAATTTCCCCTTTTTAACAATATTTTTCAGTTTAAACTTCAGTTAAATTTCATATAAAACAATATTTTAGTCTAAAATAAAGATAAAAAAAAATGATAATTACAATATAAAAGATTGGTGGGATTTGGGACCCACGAAAATGGGAGAAAGGTAAGAAAGGAGAGAGAGCGGGATGGGTGCATGGGCAGTTGGAAGGGAAAGTATCAGCGTCTTCTGGAAACATACCGTTCATTCACATTCACATTAAATTATACTTCTCTTTCTCTCTTCTCTTTTCAACAGTACTTCATTCTATCCGTAGTTTCATTTCTCACTAGTTACTAATTTTGCTTTTATCTTTCCAGTGTGTGTAATTTCATAGCATTTTCTCCCACAGTGTACATGCTTCAATCTCGGTCAGTAATTTCCCAACGCTTTTTCTCGTTAGCTGCTACACTTGTGGAATATCTCGTTTACTTAGTTTGGTAATTGATAGGAGAACACTTTAACATCATTGGTTGTTGTGAGAGATGGCATGGTTTAGAGTAGTTGCTTCCAGCATAGCTAAGCATGGCACAATTAGGAGAAGTCTGTACGGAGGTGGTGGGGGATCATTGCATTGTGTGAGAAGAACCACAGCAGCAGGCACAAATAGAATTAGAAACTTTCACAGCACAATTTTCAAATCCAAAGCACAACCCGCGCCTGTGCCCCTTTCCAAGTTGACTGACAACTTCTTGGATGGGACAAGCAGTGTGTATTTGGAGGAACTTCAAAGGGCATGGGAAGCTGATCCAAGCAGTGTTGATGAGTCTTGGGACAATTTCTTTAGGAACTTTGTGGGCCAGGCTCCCACCTCCCCCGGAATTTCCGGACAAACAATCCAGGAGAGTATGCGGTTGCTCTTGCTGGTGAGGGCATATCAGGTTAATGGCCACATGAAAGCAAAGCTTGATCCTTTGGGCTTGGAAGAGAGAAAAGTCCCTGATGAGTTAGACCTTTCCCTTTATGGCTTCAGTGAGGCTGATCTTGACAGGGAATTCTTCCTTGGGGTGTGGAAGATATCCGGATTTTTGTCTGAGAATCGCCCCGTGCAAACTCTTAGGTCCATTTTGACCCGCCTTGAGCAGGCCTACTGTGGAAGCATTGGGTATGAGTACATGCACATACCGGATCGTGGCAAATGTAATTGGCTCAGGGAGAAGATTGAGACCCCTGTGCCAACACAGTATAATCGGGAGCGTCGCGAGGTTATCTTCGATAGGCTTGCCTGGAGTACTCTTTTTGAGAATTTCTTGGCCACCAAGTGGACCTCAGCAAAGAGGTTTGGACTTGAAGGGGGTGAGAGTGTTATTCCTGGCATGAAGGAGATGTTTGATCGGGCTTCTGATCTTGGAGTTGAGAGCATAGTTATGGGAATGGCACACAGGGGAAGGTTGAATGTTTTGGGTAACGTAGTCCGGAAGCCACTTCGTCAGATTTTCTGTGAGTTTAGTGGTGGTCAGCCTCAGGATGAAGTGGGGCTCTACACGGGAACCGGTGATGTTAAATATCACTTGGGAACATCTTATGATCGTCCAACCAGGGGTGGGAGGAGGATACATCTGTCTTTGGTGGCAAATCCTAGTCATCTGGAAGCAGTCAACCCACTTGTTGTTGGAAAAACTCGAGCAAAGCAGTATTACTCAAATGATGTGGACAGAAAGAAAAACATGGGGGTTTTGATTCACGGAGATGGTAGTTTTGCTGGACAAGGTGTGGTATATGAAACCCTTCATCTTAGCGCTCTTCCAAATTACACTACCGGTGGGACCATACACATTGTGTTCAACAATCAAGTTGCATTTACAACTGATCCAAAGTCAGGAAGATCTTCACAATATTGCACTGATGTTGCCAAAGCCTTGAATGCTCCCATCTTTCATGTGAATGGTGATGACGTGGAAGCTGTTGTTCATGTCTGTGAACTTGCAGCTGAATGGCGCCAAACTTTCCATTCTGATGTAGTTGTTGACTTGGTGTGTTACCGTCGATTTGGCCACAATGAGATTGACGAACCATCTTTCACACAGCCTCAAATGTATAAGGTTAGGCCATTCTCTATTTACTGTACAAATTTCTTTTTGGCAAGTTTGTGAGTTTTTCAACTTTTTGGGCTATATATAGGTCATCCGAAACCATCCATCAGCTCTTGAGATCTACCAGAAAAAACTTTTGGAATCAGGGGAACTGACACAAGAAGACATTGATAAGATACATAAAAAGGTCACATCAATTCTAAATGATGAATTTTTGGCTAGCAAAGACTATATTCCAAAAAGAAGAGATTGGCTTTCAGCATATTGGTCTGGTTTCAAGTCACCCGAACAACTTTCACGTATCCGGAACACTGGGTATGGTAAATTAATGTTAATGTTACTTGAATCTTTTCTGTTGGTTGTATAAAGTTGAAATCTATGGTCTATCCTGTGCAGTGTGAAACCAGAGATCTTGAAAAATGTTGGGAAAGCTATCACAATCTTACCTGAGAATTTTACTCCTCATAAAGCAGTGAAGAGGATTTATGAACAACGTGCTCAGATGGTTGAAATAGGGGAAGATATTGACTGGGGATTTGCAGAGGCACTTGCTTTTGCCACGCTGATAGTTGAAGGTAACCATGTTCGGCTAAGTGGTCAGGATGTTGAAAGAGGAACATTTAGTCACCGCCATGCTGTAGTTCATGATCAGACAACTGGAGATATATATTGCCCCCTTGACCATGTGATAATGAATCAAAATGAGGAGATGTTTACCGTTAGCAACAGGTAATATGCTTTTAACACATATATATTCCATCATGGTAAAAAGAAAATAAATCAGGTTTACATGATTATTTTTCTAATTGTGTTACTTGTGCATCTTAAGCTTCTGAAATTTGAATTCATATATTGCCAGTGATCGTTGATATTTGCTTTTTTTCTTTTTTCCTTGTAGTCTTAATTTAGTTTTAATTTGTCACGTGATTTAAGGTGAATTTTAATGTTTATGATACGTTGTCAAAACTGCATGGCTATTTAAAATTATATTATCAAATTTCTTAATGAAATTTGTTGTTGATTCTTTTTTATAAACCATTAATGATTGTTATTTAGACTGTTTCTTTGCACCTTTATTTCTCCTAAAAGATAATTACTGTAGTGTCCCGGCATCCAGTGCATTTCAAAATTCAATTGCTCACCTATCACCTGTATCTATTATAGTATACTAGTATCAGAATTGTCCTTCGACCTAGGCTGTGATTATGATGTTATGTGCCTTTATCTTAGTGATCCTAAATTTTATCTCTCATATAATAATCTCATTATAATCCATTTGATACTTTAATAAAATGTGAATGCCTGTTTAACTAATAAGTCTTTCCTTTAAACTAATAAGTCTTTCATACAATATGCAGCTCACTTTCTGAGTTTGGTGTTCTTGGATTTGAATTGGGCTACTCAATGGAAAATCCTAATTCATTGGTGATCTGGGAGGCTCAATTCGGTGATTTTGCTAACGGGGCTCAAGTTATATTTGACAATTTCTTGAGTTCTGGTGAGTCTAAGTGGCTCCGTCAGACTGGGCTTGTTGTGTTACTTCCTCATGGTTATGATGGCCAGGGCCCTGAGCATTCGAGTGGAAGATTGGAACGCTTTCTTCAGGTGCTTTGTTATGAACCTCTTTCTAATTCTTGAAACTTGTTTAAAAGCTTTTATTCCTTCTGCATGATTCTGCTCGCCAACTTTTGTTTACTTTGTGATTGACATGCCACCAAGAAGGAACTAAAGGGTTTCTGTCATGTTCAATTTACATTGTTGATGTTTTGTTGTGCATGGTTGTTTTAAAAGTAAGCTTCTTGCTATTACTGGATGGCACATTTAAGTAGTCATCTTTTATAACAGGGGTAGTTTGGGAAATATCAAGGGTATAAGTTAATGGAACAATACTGAAAATGAAAATCTGGCGCTTACTCTTTGAATTTAGCCACCTTTTATGTGTGGAAACTTCTAAGTTCATAGAAAGGGTTAGGATAAAAAAGAAAGAGAACATTTTGTTTAATTAAGATTAGTGGTTGAGATCTCATGTTTTTATGGCAAACAAATAATTTAAATAATTGTCTCTTGTTGCTTGCTTCTGAAGATCTTTTTATTGCATGTGCCATGTTCATCTTTCAATGTTACACGTAATAGTATTTAAATAACATTTTTATTAATTTATTGGCAGATGGCTGACGACCATCCTTATGTTATTCCTGAGATGGATCCTACTCTTCGGAAACAAATTCAGGAGTGTAATTGGCAGATTGTGAATGTTACAACTCCTGCAAATTTTTTCCATGTTTTACGGCGGCAGGTTTGTAGTTGGTACAATGATTTGATTGATGTTAGTTTTGCCACTTAAATTTGTGTTGCTCAGTTTTATCTCACTGTGCCATTTGTTTTCTTGCAGATACATAGAGAATTCCGTAAACCTCTCATTGTAATGTCCCCTAAGAACCTACTTCGTAGTAAGGCTTGCAGATCAAATTTATCAGAGTTCGATGATGTCCAAGGACACCCAGGTTTTGACAAACAGGGAACCAGATTTAAGCGCCTCATAAAAGACCAAAATAACCACTCAGATGTTGAGGAGGGTATCAGACGTTTAGTACTCTGCTCTGGAAAGGTGTGTGATCCGGATTGGAACTGCCTGTTCTCATGCGTTTGGTTTTTATGCTCTGACACCTGGTGTATTTTATATTAACTATATTTGTGAATTTTATCTGGTACTTCAATTATTATATATGTTTAACATCTTTCACACATCATTGTTTTCTAAATATGCTTTTTATAATTATCAATGTCTTGTATTCCTTACAGGTTTACTATGAACTTGATGAACAAAGGACAAAGGAAGATGCCAAGGATGTTGCAATATGTAGGGTGGAACAGCTTTGTCCTTTCCCTTATGATCTTGTCCAACGAGAGCTTAAGCGATATCCAAGTATGTCTTCTCAAAATTCTCTTTTGAAATGGATTGATTTTTTTTTTTTTTTTTTGTTTTCATGCTGAAACTTGAATTTCAGTTACCGTTATTAGTGCGGGAACTGATTCTTGTTTGTTACTAATTTGTTTTAATATCATGACTGTTGCACTGTACCTTTTACTTTAGCTTAGTAAAAAGATCAGCCATATGGAGGTAGTTGTTTTCCTTTTGCTATGAAAGCTGGACTAACAACTTGGAGTGCTGGTCTCTGCTTGTTAGTTGGGATGATTGGAAATCATCTAGGTTTTCCTTCTATGCTATTTATGAGCTCCTACCAAACAAGGCCTGATCAAAATTGTAATGCTGCTGCTAATTGGTTTCTAGACATCTTAAAGGTGTAGTTAAAAGCCAAAAGAATTGATTTATTAGATCTTATTGACTTGTATTGTAGTTGACGTTTCTCCCGATATGGAAAATGTTTGAACTTAGATGTGCCATTGTGTAGAATAATTAATAAATTATTTTGGTTTTCCTCGTTGACATATGGGTTAAGCATTATACATTTAAAATGGTAGGATTCTAATAACGTAGTCTGCTGCTGTGGTTAGTTGTTTTACATTTTACTTTATTGTGTTTCTGCTAGATGCGGAGGTTGTTTGGTGTCAAGAAGAGCCAATGAACATGGGTGGATACACTTATGTTTTACCCCGGCTTGTAACTTCCATGAAGTCTCTAGGTAGGGGAGGTTATGAAGATGTCAAATATGTTGGTCGTGGTCCCTCTGCAGCCACAGCTACTGGTTTCCTCAAGGTTCACCTCAAGGAGCAGACTGAGTTAGTTCAGAAAGCCATTCAACGTGAACCAATCAACTTCCCTTACTGAAACATAGCATATACATTATTGTATCTCCAGAGTGATGAAGGCAATAATTGGAGGGTAGCTTGCATAATTCTTAATATTTGCTTTTCATCTTTATGTGTTCCGCATTTCACAAGATGTCATGTAAGCTGCAATTCAGTGTAAACTGTTTTTTGATGCTGAGGTAATTTTTTCATTGTTACCAACAGGTGAAACTTGGTTAATTGTCCTCTCAATAAATTTTTTTCGTGATTATTATTGTTATTATTTACTAGTTTCAATATAGAAAAACTGATATATGTTTTAGAAAACGAATTCCCTTCAAGATATGCAATGGGAATGTAAAAAAATCACGTCCAATCGATAAAAGATGCCAAAGCTATTGCTAGCAGCTTCATACTAGACATGAAAAATCAGGTTAAATATGGCTACTAAGGCATGTTCAAACACGTTATAAATAGACCGACAGTAAATTAGGCAAAACTCAATTGGTCAGCTAATAAATTTACATGCCACAAGTGCATAGTAATGCAAACTGATACTTAATCCAACGTTTTTGTTTTTTTGCGATTGAGGGGCAAGAAGCATCTTGTAGTCTTGTACTAATTTTAAGCCACTCCATTTAACTCAAATATTCCGACATTTTCACATATTTATAATATCATCAGCTGAATGAATTCTTAATAATACCAAAAGGATCAAAGTTTCTGCTGCTGTGTAAAAGCATTGATTTAAAATGTTATCGAAGTATCGGTATTCATTACCTCAGATTTAAGTTGAAGAATTTTCTAATATTAAGAACTAATTTAACATGATTATCAATAATTTTAAAACTGCTTGATTTAAATATTTTTTTTCACTTTAGGAACTATTTAGAGAAAAGAATAATGCTTTGAAATTGATGGTTTACTCGTCAAGAAATTTGTTCTATTTCAAAGTCAACTTGAAATCGGGTTATATACTCATTTTTATGAAAATGTAGAAAGCAGATAGCATAATGCTGATTGAAGTTGGATGGGTAAAAATAGTTGATATTAGTAGTGAAAAAACGTTACTCTGCTATCCAATTTACCTCCTCGTTATTGACACAAGCACGAGTATGTCTCTATTTCAAAGGCAGTCTCCTCAACAAAAGAGAAACCCCAGATATAATTCCTTTGAATTGTAGCATAGCAGAGAACAAATCGACCTTAATTTGGATGTTATAGTTTGAGTATCAAAGCTCTTATCAAATACACTGCCTAGAGTAATGTTTTGAAAACATTGAATATCAGGAGTGTCCGTGGATTTTCTTATGAAAAAATTGAACATTCATTCAACTCATTACATGTTTCAATTTTTGAGCAATTTTTGAGTAATTTTTTAGCAAAAGCTTCCTGTCTCAATTGTTGTGTCTTTTCGGTTCATTCGTTATGAAAAGATAGCTATCCTTACTTTTATCATGTGTACTGAGTTTCGCAATAGAATATTTAATGTTCAGTGTTTGATCACCCATGACTAAGTCCCACATAGCTGAGAAGAGATAACACTTGCTTGGTGTTCTATTATAAAACAAACATTCCAACTCTTTGCAAATCATACCTTTCTCGGCCTTTTGGCTAAGATCAAGTGTAGTATCTGTTCTTATCAGTTTAATATCTGATATGTGGGTCATTGGCTCACACGATATTAAATTTATTTTTTGAAGGGGAAGGTCCAAACAGTAGCTTGCTATTGGGGCCTTCATGTGTCGCTTATGTGTTGCACTACAACATGGGCCTGGCACACCCTACAACTGTAAATAAATGTTGTTTGATATTCTTCAATTAATGGATTGGGCACTTTGAGCAAATATTGTAATATTTTCTCATTTGAGCGAGTCATAATTTGTGTACCCTGCTTAACTACGGAATGGGCCTGGCATATCCTTTAAGCCAGAGTTTCCATTATTCTTTTATTCGAGCATTGGGGAAGGTGATTTATGTTGCTAATTGCACATCTTATAAAATTATGGCCAGAAAATCTTTATGTGAAGTTGAAATATGACTATTTAATAAAGATTAATTTTTCTCTCAAGTTCATTTTGATTTCCTGGATTAAATGATATATAACTAATAGGACACTGTCAACACTAAAAACCTTAGTTATTTAATAGAACAAAAGACTAATTAAAATTGGGAACAGTTTAAAGAATCAATGTAAGGTAATATTATTAACTAGGATTACTGAAAACTAAGACAACATAATTAATTTATTATGTGTAGTCAAGAAGCACTACCATGTTAATTATATTCAATCTGGAAGTTCCAACGAAGAAATGATGAGAATACAAAATTTTAGTCAAAAAGAATGAATAAGGAGAGGGAAGAAATTAACCAGCTATTTGTTACAGTGGAATATTAACAGCGGAAAAATCAACCTTCAGGGGAGGAAGGTATTTTTCTATAACACTGTTTTCCATAATACTGATGACATTCTAGAAACTGATGGGCGCAGAAAGAAATTTAATAAAAGCAGAATGTAACATGTTTTTATCATGGCTGTCAATCTTGGTCTACTATTTGGACTTGGTAGTTATCATTTTTATATGAAATATTTAGTTATAATTGGGTGATTCAACAGCCATGAGATTTTAGTTGAGTGAATGGGTGATTTAACAGCCATAATATTATGTATTCTTCTAAAAATTGGACTTGGAGTTCCATTAATAATAATAAATTATCAAAATGTTATAATGAGTTTAATGATTTTTATAATTATTATTAGTACTTTTTTTATTTGTGGATAGTATAAATTATTTAGGGGTTATTAAATTTGTTTCTAACAATTACGCATTGTTATTCACATTTATTACGTATTTAAAGTTTAGAGTTTAAAATTATTAAACAATATTAAATCTTGGTTATTTTTTTTCATCTAAGGAGCACAAATGTGACTGATAAATGTATTTTTAGTTTGATTTACTTTATTATTCAATCTTAATATATATATATATGTCAAAAGATATGTAATAAACATGGGAATAATAACCTGCAATTGTTAGAAACAGGAGTATATAATAGATAAACATCAAGTTTCACTAATGTGGGTAATTGTTAAAATTCATTCCGAGTTGGTTTTTTTTTTGTTAGTGTCCCACATCGATAGTTTAAAGTGCAAGTATCTTATTATGTATCTGTGCCTTTTCTCTAGTCCCACATCGACGGGTTAAGCCAAAACCAGTTTTGATGCATAAAGACTGGTTTTCATCCAATATAGAAGAACACGTGTTTTGGTGTTGATTCATCAAAATGGGACCGGACTTTAACAACTACAGTATGCTGTATTATGACGACTGTCTTATCTTTAATTATTTCCATTTGTTCTTTAACTAAATAAATTTTTGTATTCAATTTTTTTTTATTGTCTACCTAAGACCAGAGGAATAAATGTAGACTTTGGTTTGCTTGAGAAAACATATTTCTAACAAAAATTGTTATTCAGAATTTAAAGTGTCAATCCAAAAAAATCCAAAAATAAGGAAAAAAATTTGTAAAAATGTTCAAGTTAGGTTTATAGATTTTGACTGTATGTATAATTCGCTATTGTTTATCGATGTTTTTTTTTAGAAATGAAAAAAAAACTCATGTTTTCATCTCATTTAATTTATTTATTACAATAAAAATAAATAATGAATGGAATTCAATTTATTTGTTTAGTTTTATGATAGTTAGTAATTCATCTTCTATTTTTTTTTCTTTTACAAAACTACATCTAGCAATCTGACTATCACCTCACTCCATTATATACAATTCTTTCATGGTGATCCGTTAACTCATAAGTTTTCAATCAAAATATATATGTGGCTTGGACTTTAGAAGATGAAGAGAAACAAAATAAAAATTAAGTGAAATGAATGGATGATTATTCTTCAACCCCCTTCACTTATTTATTTCTTTCTCGTTTCAACACACGCTTAAATCAAAGCAAAAGGAAATTTTGAAAGATAATACAAAAGAAAAAGAGCAAAATTTCCCTACTTTTCATCCATATCATTTTTTCCATACAATATTTTATTTATTTTTTTTGGTAAAAAACATTTTGAGATATATATAGAGTTAATCATTCATACACTGTACACGAAGCAAATCTCCTTGAGAGAAACGCTCCCTAAGATTAGTCAATATGTCAATGGCAGTCTCAAAGAAAATGACGCTTAGTGCAATTGAAGGCGATAAAGAGTTTAAAAGCCATGACATAAGGAGTGTATTACAACATTCCCAATGTGGGTAAAAAGGGTCTATGAATGCTGGTTTAGGAATGGATCCATTTAGGAATCCCATTTTGTTCTTGGAGAGTAGATTTCTTCTTCTAGTTCAGCTACACGAAGCAAATCTCCTTGAGAGAAACGCTCCCTAATATTAGTCAATATGTCAATGGCAGTCTCAAAGAAAATGACGCTCTGTGCAATTGAAGGCGATAAAGAGTTTAAAAGCCATGACATAAGGAGTGCTGCTCTTTAAATTGCATTCAATACCAGATACACAGATACACATGCCACTCATTTTCTTTCTTCTTTTTCTTTATTTTAGTTTCTAAATTTATTTTGATTCTTTATATATAAAATGTTTATTTTCATCTTTTATATTTTATATTTAATTCAATTTAGTCATCTTAAAGTAACCATAATTTTTAATTTTATGACATAATTTTGAATGATTCAATTTGGTCTTTAAGGGTAGTTTTGGTTCAATTTGTTAATTGCATGAATTAATCTCCTTTGGACATGTGACATGAACCTAGGAAGCTTTAGAATTTACGAACCCAAAAACAAATGAGTTTTCATTCACCATTTCTCTACATCTCAAACTCGATGTCCTTATCTTGGGCCACGAGGGTCAGTTGAAACAGTGATCCCATTTATACGTTTGACAAAAGGCCCAAGTAGAACAGGCCCAATACGCATGGGAGAGCAGAATCCGATAAAAATCTAAACCCAGCCTTTCATTTCATCTTCATTCTTCATCGTTGAGTCGTCTCACTGTGACACCATGCCCTCTCTAGCGTTGAGAAGCGACGTAGCTTCGGCCTTCTTCGGCCTCGCGTATCGAAACCCTAAACCCTTCACCTTCTCACTACAAACCACACTTCTCCCTCTCCTACGCAGAACAACCACAACAACAACCTACTCTCTCTCCGCAACATTCCCTCTCACACCCGCTCGCCGCTTCTCCCTCGCCGCCACCGCCTCCGCCTCCGCTCCGCCTCAATCCGACGACTCCGACGTCTCCACCGCCATCCCGCCCGACAATCGCATTCCCGCGACCATCATCACCGGCTTCCTCGGTTCCGGCAAGGTATCTATCAATCCTATTTTCTATTTCTTACGTCCGAATTGGTTTTCACGTTAGGCTAACTTATCTGAGCAGACCACGCTTCTGAACCATATTCTGACCGCGGAGCATGGAAAGCGAATTGCGGTTATCGAGAACGAGGTATGTATTATGCATTCGTGGTTGAGAGTTTGCGGAATCACGTGGTTATGTGAATTTGGATGTGATTGTTTGTAGTTTGGTGAAGTTGACATTGATGGTTCTTTGGTCGCGGCCAAAGCTGCTGGCGCTGAAGATATTATGATGTTGAACAATGGCTGCCTTTGCTGCACTGTCAGGGGTGACCTTGTCCGAATGATTTCCGAATTAGTCGCCAAGAAGAAAGGAAAGTTTGACCATATTGTTATTGAGACTACAGGTAACTGAATTTTGTGTGCGATTCTTGCCCTGACTTGCATATTGTTGAACTGAGGTTTTCATTTGGTAGACTTTATTCTTAATTAATATAGATGTCATGGACCTCCTCATTAGTTACTCCCTCCAAGTCCTGTATAAAGGGCGGCCCAGTGCACGAGGCTCCCACCTAGTGGGGTCTGGGGAGGGTAGATGTACGCAGCCTTACCCCCGCAAGCGGAAAGGCTGTTTCCAGGACTCGAACCCGTGACCTCTTGGTCACTAAGCAGCAACCTTACCGTTGCGCCAAGGCTCACCCTCCCTCCAAGTCCTGTATATAAGAAACAAATAACCCATTCATCAAAAAACAATAAGATTAGTTAAGGTGGTTAATTTTTATTAATTATGTCATGAAATTAAATTTTATTCCAAAAACACCCTTAGAATTGGATGATTTATAGAATGGTTACATTTATCGGCACTACATCTAATTCAAGGGATAACTTTTTTCTCCAATAAGTATAATTTCTATGGTTAATAGATCAATAAATGCTTCAACTTGCATGAGGGTAAAAAGGAAGTTGGTAATTGTTACACTGTAAAATGGGTCTTTGTTTCTTATAATTAATAATTAGGAGCAAAAATTTATAGAATGGTTACATTTATCGGCACTACATCTAATTCAAGGGATAACTTTTTTCTCCAATAAGTATAATTTCTATGGTTAATAGATCAATAAATGCTTCAACTTGCATGAGGGTAAAAAGGAAGTTGGTAATTGTTACACTGTAAAATGGGTCTTTGTTTCTTATAATTAATAATTAGGAGCAAAAAAGAATATCTATTTTTTTTTATTTATATATATAGGACCAGTTAAATAAGCAATTGACATGATACTATTAAAAGATATGATTATTTACTAATATATGGTGATTTTGTTCCAAGTTCCAACTTAAGATAGAGAAAAATTTTTAAAATCAAAATATTCAGAGAATAACTTGCATTCTCAAGGAGAGAAGTAAATACTAAAACTCGTGATTTATTAAACATATATGAAACTTTGTTTTACTTCACTCCTCAAACTTTGTAGGAGTTCAATCTTATACATATTTCTTGATTCATATATATATTTTAAAAATATACATTCCATCAATTTTAATATATATAAAATGTTTGACCAGAAAGATAGAAGTTTCCAGGTGTATACATCGCTGACTTGGCCCAGTTATACGGCATTGACCATCATATTCAATTAAGTAATCAGATAACAACTTAGTGATTGTGTCACTCAGACAAAGAACAGACCCATAGTGGTATTAATCCTAAGCTACATCATTAATTTTTTTAAATGCAAATATTAGATTAATCGACACATGATTAATATTTTAGGTTTTTAGACTATGAACTTTCACGAGCAATCCATACACAGCACGTTAGAGTAATATTCCATTTTCGTTTTCGTTGGTCATACCAAGTCTAGAAGACAAGTATAGTTTTCCAAGTAAACAGCGAAGTTCAATGCATAATAATCACTTTTGTTTTATCTTATATATATATATATATATATATATATGCTGGCTGCCATCTAGAAGCCCTTTTATTTTATCTTATTTCAAAATTTCAGAGCAAGAGTTTTAAATTATTGGTAACATGAATTGGCTCCTCTTTTCACAGCAAAGGAAAGCCACACTTCAACGCATCCTTCGTACTTGCTTACGTTAGACAAATTCAATTCAAAGTCACAAGTTTAGTGTGTCAGAGAACATGTTCACACATTACACATACATGCATTCATATACGTCAACTATTTTTTTAAAACACTACGTACAGCTAACAAACAGAAACCAACCTAGCTTGCTTATAAATATCAGATACCACACTCAAAAAGTCTTATAATGAGTTCCATTCCACACCCTTCAAGCAAAACAGCATTGCATAGTGATGAAGAGAGAGAGAGAAGTTGATAGCATAACCATGGCCAACTACTTGATGTTGCTTTCTCGAGGAGGTGAAGTAATTGGGAACATCAACTACTTGAACTCTTCCAACAACCGTGTGTTTGAGTGCAAGACATGTAACAGGAAGTTCCAATCCTTTCAAGCATTGGGTGGCCACCGTGCGAGTCACAAGAGGCCAAGGTTGATGGCAGAGTTTGATAACCAAAACCAAGTTCATGTTCATCATCATGCTTCACCACCAAAGCCTAAGACACACGAGTGTTCCATTTGTGGGTTGGAGTTTGCAATAGGACAAGCTTTGGGAGGCCACATGAGGCGCCATAGAGCAGTAGCAACAGCATCAAATGAAAACATAAACACTAGTGTTCATATTACTTCACCAAGCAACAACAAGGTTAACAACACCAAGAGAATTTTGTTTCCTGATTTGAATTTGACTCCTATAGAGAATGATTTGGAGTTTTTGAAGATTACTCAAGTAACTCCTTTGGTTCATTGCTCCAATTGAATTAATTCATTCCTGTAACGTATAGCTTGTAGTGTACCATATAGTTACAACATTACTTTTTTCTTCCTTTTTTGTATTTCACTTTTAAGTAAATTCATTCTTCAGTTCTTAGATATATATATAAGAAATTCGTGTTTGTAAAAACAAATAAAAAGTGTTGATGTATATTTTTCCTTATCTCTAGACAATTCTTTTTATAAATTTTAGCTTAACTCAATTTTATAAAATAAATTTATAATTACCTTAGTTGGATATTCTATTTTCGCTTTATTAATGTATGACTTAAGTTTTTTTTTTTTTCATTAATAACAGTTAAAAAAATTGTTTAACAATTTATATCTTACTTGGGTTGTTACTATGGAAAAGAACTATGGAGGATGCTTTTCAAAATTATTGTTACTTTCAAAAATATAAAATACTTGAAAGATTTCAACCTTCTCTAGAATCTTAATTTAAACAAATATTTTTCTGATGACTATAAGCATATTTGTACAAGTCGCAATTTTATTCTAAAAGTTTTTGCTGCCACTTAATGGGATTGAGATTTGTGATTAATAATTCAATCCATCATTTAATTTCATAACGTGTAAGCACTATTTTACGTCAAAGATTCAGAAAATGCTTGATCCATATGCTCAAGGAAAAGAAACACAAAACAGCTAGTAGAAAGCGATATGCTTCTAATTAATGTAAGTAGTAATGCTAGCTATCAATAATATTTAAGAAAGTGTTCCTAAAATGACAACTTTTCACTTATATACTTTGTAATAATTATGTACTCTAATATCATCTTCTAATATCATCTTTAAAAAGTAAATTTAATTTTAATTTAACTTTACAAAATTGACTTTTAAAATAAAGATTTTTTTCCACTTTTAAACTTTATACTGATCATCTCATTGACGTAAAATCTCTAATAAGTATTAAATTGTATGCAAATGTTTACACAATTTTGATGGGTAAAAAAAATGAATAATTTGAATTAAATAAGCATTTTATCTAGTAGTATTTGACCAAAACAAGTAACGTTTGTATCTGACTACTTGTCTTACTAGTATATGATATTGAACTTATTCAATGTAATCAGCTGATTAATAACTAATTAATTCACTTTTTTAACTTAGTGATCCTGTCACTTAATAGTGAACAGATACTCTTGTGTTACAATCACTAGTTTTCTTTTCGTAAAATATAAACAATACGTTGGAATGTTGGATTAATTAAATAATTTTCCATTTTCCATTTTCCATTTTCACTAGTCATACAATCTAGAAGGGAATTATTTTCCAAATACAAGTGCCGTATAATTGAAGCCAATAAAATTGTCCTAATCTAGAAAGTTATATCATCTATAATTTAATCCTCATTTTGTCCACATTTTAGTTACCTATTTTATTTTATAACTGCTATAAAGTTATCCAGACATTTTTATTTTCTATTTAACTTAATTTGTCTTTTTTGCCTCTTTTATTTTATGTTTCATTTTAAGAAAAAAAAGCATATGTAGATTAGCTTTTAAGTTCCAAGTGTATGCGAGTAAAAAAGTCATGATACGATTTTATAAGTGAATTGTATATGAACACATGTACTCTTTTAGATGACTTTGGTATGCTTCTTAATTAAGAAATAACTAATAAATATTTTAAAAACTCACGTTAGAAAAATATATTTTGAAATAATATCATATTTGTTAACTTTAATTATCACTATTAAAATAATATATTTTTCAACATTAATTCTTTCAAAATGGATTTTTAAAATATTTATTAAAATTTTCTTTATAATTAGTTAATATGATTTTTGTACATCACTCGGATAATATACTAATTTCAATATACAAGTTACGTGGTCATAGTGATACTGATAGCTATAGCTAACTACACAAAGTTATATATATAGAAAATGTATACACATATATATTTATAATCTTATACATGAAAACGTGATATATTATAAGCAATGATGGGAATATGGGATTGCAAAGTCTTACACAATCTGGCAAATTTCCTTGGTTAACAAGACAAAGACACACTATATCAACTACATATTGGTCAACTTTTAGTTCCATCCATTTCCTTCATTAATTTTGCTTAGTCAGGTCACATTAGAGACTCTGGATCCTCAATTTTACTCCTACATCTAAGGGAGGCTTCATAATAAATTAAAATATCTATATTAGATCAGCCTCAGCAAACCTGAAAAAATTAATCTACCATTATTAGTCGGTGATATAAATAAATAAATAAAAGTAAAGTACATGAGAATAATATCGCGTTTCTACTTAAGACTTTTATCGATTTATTTCGGTATATATTGTACGTTGTTAATTGTTCCATTTTTTGTTGATTAGGCATGCATTTTGCAACTTTTTAAGATGAAAATTCATGGTTCGTTGTATTCTACAAACGGTGGGCTTTTTACTTTTTGGCATGACATGGATCATATTTGACAAAAAAGCACAAACAAGAAAAATAAAATAAAAATGACTTGAATTGAACAGTTTTGTGACTCTCATGACTCTTGGGGTTATAAGCTATTGTTTATTTGTACGTCACTGAAACGTGTTTATCTGGTACAAAAATTGTAAAACAATTAATACTACGTTGGTTGATACAGTTGGGATCTCTTAAATGTAAAATGTTACTTTTTGGACGTTCTTGGTCAAAACAACTCATCATATCAAACTTAATCTCTTACTCATGTTTAACACAGGCCCATGCACATTTCATGATTTCGTACCACTCTCCAAATTCAATATTTTCTATATTGCTTTCCCGTGCCTAGTTGTTGAGGCTCACGAGTACTGCTAATTTAAATATAAACAAATTAATTCAAGAAACTTAATTAAATAATGTGTATTTTGGAGAATATCACTAAATGTTGTAAAAGTAATTCAATTTTTCTTATATATTTTGATCTGTCATGCATCATATATTTTTTTCTCCATTGAGTTCGGAGGAAATACTCTTTAACGCATATTATATTATTAGTTAATTAATTATTAAAGACTATCACATCAATAGTTTTTAAATGAAAAGTGAAATCTACCACAATTTATAATATCTAATAAATTTCAAATAATAATATAATGCGTGTATTAAAGAATGTTACAGACAATATTTAATTTATCGATTTTGGTTAGACATTTTTTTTCAATGAATTTTTTTTTCATATCTAAAAGTTAGAATTCGAACTTTAAGCACTTCGTTAAACAAAGAGATTTTCTCACTACTTTGTTCGATCTAAATTTGTATAACAATTTTCGGTTTACTTATCATAGTTGCATACGTTTGTTTTATTTTATTTATTGTGATACATGTTGTTGGACAGACTTGCGTAACCCATGAGCAAAATGTAAACCCACTTGATAAGCAATTTGGAACCGTTCACCTACTAATTGCTTTCTTTAATAGTAAACTGTATTCATAACTTATTTTATTTTAGTTTTTGATGAGTTATTTCTTACTTGAGCTTACAAAAAACCAAATAGTGCAAAGCTTTAATAAAAATTCTTATTGAAGAGATCAAGTATACAATTGCTTTATAAAATTTTTAAATTATTTAATATTTTATTAAGTAAATTTAAATTTTAATACAACAAACCTATTTAAACATTAGTTATTGAAATTATACAACTATAAATGTTTAATTTATCAAAAATTTATTGTATATGATTATTAAATTAGTATAAAAATATTCAACGATTAAATTAATAAAATAAAAATTTATAAAATTTCTAATATTCGTTATTTTATTTAACAAATATTATATGCACACTTTGTTGTAATAATATAGTGCAGTTACATATTTCATGACTTAATATTTAATAAAGCTTAAACTACCTTGCATGTTTGGTTCAGTTTGGGTTTAACAATGTTTCATCTGATACCAGACCAATTATAATTGAATTTGTTTGATTTGATTCCGATAGTCTGAACCAAATTAATTCATTCGATTTGAATTTTCAGCTTCATCAAGTTTATCCAAAGCAATGAACACCCTTTCACAAAAATGACAAAGTTAACTTGTTTGGTTTGACGCAAACAGTCAACCAATAGAGTTTGAGCAGTATTTAGATTGAAGACCGTGATAATTTATGGTGGCTATTGAATTTAATTTTGAAAGACGAGGAAATTTTTAATCAAGTTTATGGGCTTGTTTGAGTTTGTTATATTTTGAATAGATTTTACCGACGCAACAAAAAAATGCAGATGCTAATGTACAATAAAAATATTAGATAGGAATGTTATTACCGTTATACTTTCTATCGTACAAAAACATTTCATTATCTGTGAATTATTTTATAAATAATAAAAATTATATAATAATGATTATTAGAAACACAGACGTCACTCATGAAATAGGTGATTTCTTATGATATGAGAAAATTTGGAAAGCAACATCTACAGTGGTTACAAAAGAATAAAACAACCCAAAAATGCATACACGAAAAAAAAAAAAAATCTATCACCTTTAATGTAGTTATAGATATATTTATAGATACAATCTTGAAGGTTTTTTTATTTTATTTTATTTTAGTTTTTCTAATAAAAAATACTTTTTATTTATAGCAAAGAAACTTTCAATTACACTTTTAACTTATATCGAAAGAGACTCAAATTATAATCATAGATTAATTCATGCATGCAACGGAATTGGTAGCAGTGAATGGAATAAAATTAAATGAAATATTACTAAAAATTTAAACATATAATTTACCATTAGTATTTTTTTATTGTACAATACGTAGAATAAATATTTTATATATATATAATTTATAACATCTATAATATATATATATATATATATATATATATATAATGTTTCTTCCAATTGCTTAAAAAATAAACCAATAAAAAATTTTATTTCCACATTTTAGCCTTTTAACTTTTGTAATTAGAAGTTACATTTTTATTATAAAAAATAATTATTACCCACTCAATTACCTTTTTTTTTAATGCCCTAAAATACCATCACTTTTTTTTTAATGAAAAATAAATAGAAACATCAATCCCACTAGTATCTAAAAAGAGGATAATATTATATTTCATTGTTTGGATCAGTAAAACAAGCATGGAACAAAAAAAAAACTATGAAACTTATTTCAACCTATTTCATTATTTATCTTTACTCTTGTCTCATTCCATTTCACATTTTCACTCCACTTCATTCCATCTCCCTCCATCAATGTAACCCATAGGTTTAGATTTTTGTGAATGGTTAATAGAACCCAGTTCTTGGCGTTCAAGAAACAGAGCTTATATGATGGCAGCATGAAAGTTATCATAATGAGTTGTTACTTGTTACTACTAACCATAGATTATATAAATTGTAATAAGAGATGATATAATGTCCAATGAGAATCATTTTTTTCATCAATAGAGGACGGAACATGAAATGAGGCAGCGAGAGTAATATTGGGGAACAAATTAGTCACATGGACGAATATATATATTGTGAATTGAACATAACAATGATTAGGGATTGCTTTGTGTTGTGGACATAAGTAATAATCTGTGAAGTGAAAGCTTAGCAGAAAAGAAAATGCAATAAAGAGAAGATGTGATGATTAATTTGAATACAAAGAGTAATTAGGGATTGTTTAGAATAATGAAAAGGCGAGAATCAGTTAGAGTTTTGAGGTTGATCGGGGTTACCGAACTTTTGTTTGAAGGAATCCTGACGCTGTAACCACATCATGTGACCCTGTGAGAGATTGGAAATGCAACAAGAAAATCAAGAAAAGAGGATTGAATTGAATTGAGAAGTTAGGGTTAGGGTTAGGGTTATGGTACCTGAAGAGCAGCAGCCCAGGTGATTATGAAAGATGCGATCCAGAATTTCTTGTCTTTCACCACATTTTTCAATTCCATCGATTCTTTCTTCTTCTCCTTTCGCAACGCAATCTTTCATCTTTCCCCTTTTTTATTTTTGAACGTTCCCTTGACAGCCCAATAATCAAGGCCCAAATACACAAATGCCATCTACTGCTCATTCTTGTTATACAGTAGTAACACTTATTCTTATTTTAATTTTTAGGACTAATTTCAAACCTTAATTTCAATTATTGGAGTATTAAATATTTTTTTAAAAATAGGTAAACGTTATTTTTAATTTAATGTTTAAATTATTAAAATTTAATATGAATTGTGGATTATTGAATTAAATAACTATTAATAGAGTTAGTCTTTGAGAAACTTGATTCACTCATTGCTGTTTTATACATTGTCTTATAATTACAAAACACCACTACAAATATGATTAATTTGTTTACTTTTTTTTTTAATACGCGGACAAAGAGCTCCAACAACAATCAATTAAACTAGTGAAAGAGTCAAATTTACATCAACTTGAACAACTAAAGAAGTGAAAGGTAAAATAGAACAAAAACATGAAAATTATTTGTAACATATAATAATAATTTTAAAAGTTATGCCGATAATAATAATTTGGGTTAATTTATTTTAAATTTTTCTTTAAAAAGTGGAATTATGCCAAACATAATTTTAAGGGAATAATTTTTTAAAAAAATATTTGTAATATTTAAAAAAAACAATTCTAAGAGCCTGCCGACTATTCTTTTTCTTTTTCACTCTTATTTTAAATTTCAAAACTCAATAGCATATTATTTATAAATTTTAAAAATATAAATTTGTCAAAAAATTATTTTAAATTCTTATTTTTTTAAAACTTTAATTTGATAACATTGAATCAACTCTTGATATAAATAAATAATACATGTATTAATAAATATTAACTCCTATATATTAAATAAGAACTTCTATCTTACGAAGAGTGTTTTTAAGACTTTTTCTTCAACGAAAAAGTTTATAGAAACTTTTTTAACTCTTTATCTAATTTAATTTTTGTTTATCATAATTATTTATAAATTAAATATTAATATTTTAAAATAAATTTCTTTTTTGTTATAATATAAATTATTTATCATAAATTTAAAATATAATTTATATGTTTAAAAGTATTTATGTATATTAATTTAAAATATAACTTATATGTTCAAACATAATATTTATTTATATATAATTTATTATAAAATTTAATTATGTAATAAACATGTCTGTATATTATATAGACTAAAATATTAATTACCATCTAATCACAAATTATTATTTATATTAATTTTTTTAATCACATCAATGATGATTTTATAATAAATTTGTTAAGAAAATATAAATTTTTAAATAATTAGATTTAATAATAAAATATACTTAATGCTCGTTAATTACTATATTTAAGTAATACATCGAAAAGATAACACAATTCATTTAATTAAAAGATTTATTAATCACACCAATAACACAATTCACATTCAAAAGTGTTATTGGTATGACTAGTAAAATATTATTATTAAAATCAATAAATTCACCACACATTGTATAGTATGTAATGCAATTGGATTACAGTAGTGCATTACTTTTTCTTTTTTTTTCTTAATTAAAACGCAGTGTCATTTGATTCTCTATAAGCACGCTTTAAATATCCTGTAAAGACTTCTATCAATTTTCATGCTCATTTTCGTACATGCTGTGGTACGAAATATTTGATGGTATATTCATGATGCACTGTTCAAACCAAGGTATTTTCTATCACATTTAATAAGAATAAATAATCATTAAGGTTTTCATTAAATCCGCAGATTGGAAGTAGAAAATTTTCATCAGTTATTATGTCATTAAAGTTTTAGTCAACCCACTAACTCCCCAGCAAAGATGCAATAGGAAGACAACTTTTCCCTCCCCAAATTTACAAATTACTGTCTAAGACCGAAAAAATGATAATAAAAAAAAATAGCAATCAAAGACATAATTAACTAGCAAGAAAATAGATCATGCAATCAGAAGTAGAACTAGCATCCTCCTCCTTCAGCAGACATTGTAGCAGAGGCAACTTTAATGCATTTGTGTCTAAGTAAAATTTCAACCAATAACAAGAAGATGGTTGGTAGTAAAAAACTAATTTTATATAACTCCAATTCAATTGTAACAATCAGAAGAAATGATATTTCAAGCTGGCAGTTTGCCTGATGAGAAGAGAGAGAGCTTCTCTCTCATAATGTAGGCAGTATTGTCGGAAAATTCACAAGTTTGGTCTTGGTATCTAGAATCATGCTGGTGGCAAGGGGGCATATCATTCAGTACTCCGTCCTCCATATCAATAACTATATTATGTAGTATGCAGCAAACAAGAATAATTCTTGGTAACTTGTGCTTATCGGGCTTCCACATCACACCTTGGATTATACTCCACATCTCCTTCAGCCTAGCCAATGCTTTCTTTGCCACCATTTGAGTTTCAACAACCCTTTTGTTAAACTCAACTTGAACAGTTGAGAGTCCTTTACCTTCATAAGGTGTAAGAAGCCATGGCAAAAGGGGGAAGCCTGTATCACCTATAATGTATTCCCTTACCACTGTTCCATCTGGAAGTGTTTTCTTACCCCCACTCAACCTCTTCCCTTCTTCAACAAGTTTGAAGAAAGAAGAACTTCGAAGCACATGTTCATCACTCACACTTCCTGGCCATCCAGTAACTATGTCACGGAATCTCAAATCCGGATCCACAATGGCTTGCAAGACCATGCTGCAATTCTTCTCACGATCGAGCCACACGCTGTTCAAGGTGTCTACGGAGGGCAAAGTCATCATTATGTGTGTGCTGTCAATGGCACCACAACAATTAGAAAGTCCCTGTATGTTCTCAAACTTACACTTTATCTCTTCCATTTCCATTTCAGTTGAAGGCCAACTAAGATGGTGGAGTCCTCTCTCTTCCATTGCTTCCACAAACTTCCATGTTATTTGGGAAACAGTTGACTGGTTCATCCGAAATGAGTCACCAATGGTTGACAATGACTCACCAGAGCAAAGCCTTCTAAGAGCTATAGCTACTTGGTCATTCACAGACAAACGTTTGCCATTTAAATCAACAAAATTTGAGGCTCTGGCCAGCATGTCTTCCTCCACAAGAGAACATATATAGTTGAACGTCTTCCTTGAGATCTTGAAAATTGACTCAAACTTCTCTATATTCTTAGATTGAGCTAAATGTCCTAAAATTAGCAAATGAAAGCATGAGCATATCATGCAGATGGGTAATAGGATTTCACAATAAAATATAATGAATAAGTTTAGCACATCACATAGCATCTTCTTATGTAAAATGGAAGGAAGGTAGTCCACATGCAAGAAAAAACAATAACAGATACAATTTTCTTTATGTGTATAATCAAATTAGAAAGATATGTTACAAAAACCATTTTCTTCTTCTACAAAGCATTCTACTCAAAGTAGCAAAAGACATAAATATCACAGAATATGAACACCTAATGGTTAGTATGTGACAGAATTTTGATTAAGAAAATCAACATAGTAATGAATTGAATGAAGGGTTTGACTAAAAATCTGAAGAATGGCTCATACCTTTGCATTTTTAAACTTATTTTTCTTTCAAAACCTCTTCAGCTGTCAATCAGATTATATGGTTTTCAACTCATGAGAGTGCATTTTTTGTTGTTGTATTGATCATACCAGTCTAACATTTATTCCATTTAATAAGCACATTCCCACATTTAACCGAAGTAGTTCTACAGAACCTATACACCTTTATCTTCAATCAATTCAACAACTAAATGAAAAAAGCCTATTTGATAAGCAGTTTTATTAGTTAGAATGTATCATTTTGACCACAAGCTTGAGTAATCTCGCTGCTCGTGTATTTATTTGGTAATTAGTCAGTATAAAGATGAAAGTGAGTGCAAATTATGCGACTCTTGAAAGCAGACATAGGGAAGAGACAAAAAGCTGGTATACGGGAAGAAAGATCATTTAGGATATGCATAATAAGAAAAAGAAGCAGGCACTATTCTCTTGAAAACAATGCATAATATACCCAATTGTTATGTATGGTGAATAATTGCAGCAAGTAAAGATAATGAAAATAATGCTGATGTTATTACACCTATAACCGGGATCTCTCCCACCAATAAACAAAGAAGCTGAAATTGTTTTAACAGAAACCTTCAAAATTTGGAAGGCTAAGCTACAAATAATAAATAGCCAAGCAGAGATTTACAAAGCAAAAACGAGTAATTCAACAAAATCAAAAGCAAAGTCTACGATAGTTCCTAAGTAAGAAACAAAATCCATATTCAACACAAAAACATTTCGGTCAAAGGCAGGAGGTTACTTTCTGTATAAAGTAACTCAGCAAGACGTATGCCCAACAAGAGCAACATGGACATGAAAAGTCAAGCAAAACCAACAAAGACATTAGTTGTATCAAATTCTGCAATAACGAAAAGTGAGTAAATTACTAAGCATGAAAAAACAAATCTGGAATCATAATAATCGTATTCAATATCAGAAAGCACATAACTTGTTAGCCCTACATTAAAAACAATAATAATAATAACTACCCATCTTGATATATACAATAATAAGTAAGTAACAAAACATCAGACACAGACACAAACACAAACTTATGAGTTATGAAAATAAGAAGCAATAGCAATAAAAGGATATTGCAGTGTACCTGAAATTCTGAGAGAGAAGTGATGCCACCAATCGAATGGGGTCGCAGTGGCATCTTGGTCATCCTTGTTATCAGCCTTCTTCCTCTTCTTGATCCCTCTGATGGAACCCATTCATTCAAAACCCAAAACCAAAATCACAAAAGGGGAAGAAAACCCATTAACCACCACCCAACAAGAATCAAAGTGTGTGCAAATTCACCAGTATTTATAACATGAAAAAGTTGAATGAATAAACAAGTAGTAAAGCATAAAGAGCGAAATGAAGCAGAATACGTGAGTAACTAACGCGTGGTGTTGGTGTTATATATTGCTCAAGGGAATCGAAGAATGTAAGGAAAAGCAACAAACCAAAATAATTAATTAATTAATAAATAATAATAATAATAGTAGTAATATAAGAAAAATAACGAGACGTGGCTATGCCAAGTTCAATGAGACCAGCAGTTTTTTTTTCTTTTTTTCTTTTTTTCTCGTAATGGACATGAACAAGACTTCCTCGCTCATGGTCTTCCCATTATTTTAATCATTATTTTTTTTCTAAGTGACTTTGCAATAAGATGTACTATTTTAGAATAATTATATTTTTTTCTGAGTTATTCATCTACTCTCATTTTATTTTATTTGATCGATTCAATTCCATCTCTCTATTATTAAGTAATTTAATTTGATTTATTAACTTTTTAATAATAATACATTATGATATAAAGTAACAAAGTAGATTATAGGTAAGTTTGTTGACGTGACATGATGAGATCAAATAGACATTCTTAATGGTTTGATTTTTTTTATAAAGTTTCCCAACTCATCAAAATGAAATAAGTTAGCTTTTTATTTTTTAGATATTATTTTTAATTTATTTTATAATTTATTTCATGTCATTATAATTGTATTTATGTTTATTTTGTGAATATTATGTTGTGGTATGATCTTACTATTAAAAGACAATTAGTATATTTGTTGTGATTTTTAAAAATTATTATAATTTGCATCGTTAAAAAACTATTAATAATGATTTTGATTAAAAAAAGAAAGATTTTTAACTTATAATTTAATATTTTTCTGTTGTGATCTTTAGGTTAAATGACAAATTTTTATTATGATTTTTTTAATTAAATTTTACATTGTTATAAAAAGAAATTAAATTTGTCAAGTTGAATTGATGATAATACAGGAAAAAAATGTTATGATAGATTAATTTGTCCATAAAAACGAGTCAATATTTCTAACTCACTTTTAACAAGTAAATTAATTTATTTTATCCTTTTTTTATAGACTTTAGAAAACGGACTAATTTGTTTTTGTTGATTCTAATAATTAAGCTAATCAACATTAACTATCTATACCAAATGATATAGTAAAAACATAACATGTACCGTGATGTGTATATAAAATTTCTTTGGATATATGTCGCACAATAATGTGCCATCATATATATAAAAATTTGATATATTTGGAAATGAATCACATTATATCATTCTTAAAAATTAAGAAAACGAATTAAATATTTTAATAATAGAAAATTCAAGTCGACTAATTTAAAAAAGTAAATTAACCTTATTTTTTTAACACTCAACACAGTAAATAATTATTGACACTGATATTTTTCTTTCTTTCTTTATTATCTAAATCTATCATTCCTTTTTTTTATTTCTTCCTCTCGCCATTTTCCAATATTTTAATTAGATTGCATTTTTCGTTCATTTATCTTTGTTCATGTGTCGACAATAATATTTATTCCAAAATATCATTTTCACTTACTACTCTTCGTTTTTGGACCATTTTCTGTTGTCGGTTGTGACCTTATCATCACTGTCTCTCGAGTCCAAATAAATGTAGAAATTAATTTTTAAACTATGAACACGGGTAAAAAATTAAAATGCTGCTTTTCAATAAAATTATAATTTATGTCCTCTATCAGGATAAATGCTTAAATTACAATCTCCATTAAAATTTTGATTAAAAATCTTACGCAATTTTACAAAATTTTAAAAAATCATGAAAATCTCATAAAATCTTTTAAAATTCAGAAGACTTTTTTTAACTAAAAAATCCTTTAAAATCTTAATCCAATACATTTCTCTTATTCTAAATGTTATACTATTTTTTTAAAATATTATATTTTGATTTATTTTAATGTAAACAAAATTCTTATCAATAATAATATTTTTAAATAAATTTCTCAAGTATTTTTTTTTATTCTGCGGAGATTCTCACTACTCGGCGTCACTAAAAATTATTTTCTGACATTCTTATCTTATTATTGGTTTTGTGATTTTATACAATGAAAAATTATTAAGCACTATTCACTTTTAGATTTCAATAAAAAAAATTCATAGTATTTTCAAATTTCAAAATCTATGTAAAGGGTCAAAACAATTCACCAAGTGGAAAAAAGTCCTAATATACTTATTTACATTAAAATCGGTTAAATATATCACATTTAACCTCTCAAAGGTATAATATTTCAAAAAATACTAATAAAAAATTGTGTAGTTTTCCTTCATAAGATTGCATTTTTTTAACAAAAAAAAATTATAATTTGAACGTCGTCTAAAAACATATGGTAATTTATACTAATATAATTCTATGAAATTACCTTAATTTATCATTTGAGCTATATTGTGATAATTAAAAGGATTGAATTTTTTAAAAAGGTCTTTCAATTCACAATAAACATCCTTTTTTTTTATAGACAGAACAGATTGTTGAATTAGATATTAGTTATGGTAAATAAAGCAGTTTT